TTCTTGAGGGTACACATGAGGAAGGGTGGATGTTTCGTCTCTTCTATAGGGGTGATCATTTACTTCGAGCGACATATTTTAGTTAGAAGTTTCACTAGTGTATGCATAATGAAAGGTTATATCTATAAGATTACGTGAAAATATATACTAAGTTTACTATTGTTAGTTTATTTATACCCTGAACAGGGTATATTCAATTTGCCATGAAGTTTGTAACAACCAGAAGGAAACGTTGGAAATCCGGAGATGAGACGATTGAGCCATGTCCGTCTGACCATTTGTCATTTTGTGTATACGAATATATCCCTTAGTTTTTGAGATATCGATCATTTAACACACCTCCTTTTCTCCTCAAGAAGCTGCTCGGAACCGCCGATATTACTATAGCATATAAGTAGTCGTATGGACAACTTTTGAGCTATTGCATAGCTTCTATTGCGGGCTTTGAGTGTGGGGACTGGATCAAGAAATTCCGTTACGGAAATAAACCCAACACGATCACAAAGTATGCGCAAAATGTTTGGATACTTTTAGGAGTATTTTCGCATATCTCAAGCGGAACAAATCAATTGAAGAAACAGCAGGATGATTCAAAAATAATAATATTTAAGATAAAATATGGAATTTAATAAAAATTTTATTAATAAAAATAAATTATTCAGTATTCGGAGTCATAATATTAGTAACATTATTATTATTTCGGTAAATAGCTACCCCACCTTTTGGAACAGTATCTCGTTTGATTTGAACAATACAATTGAAATTAGGTATTTCCATCGGATTATCAATGGTAATAAATTTCCACTTACCTTGGCTGGCGATTTCGATATTAACTTCGGTGATCAGAGCGGTTGACAACTTTTCAACAAATTGAATTTGAAAATGAATAATGATCCACAAGAATCCACAACAAAATATAGGACCACCATTGACGCGGTATTTTCCAGATATTTAGAGAATATTAAGTTTCAAACTTATGTTTATTATTTAGTTACCATAAGCCTATATTTTCAATAATAAAAATTCCTGAATAACCTACATGTATTGCAAAATAATAAAAATATTTTAAATTATATTAACTTCTCACTTATTCAATAAAAGATAAAAATTTGTTTTCCTACCGATCACCACGCTCAAAAAGTGTATCTTGAATTAATATCAAAAACAAAAAAATACTGCATAACAAATAATTAAATAATTATCATTGGATAAGTTGTTAAAAAATGCTATGCAATAGCTTTACCGCGGCAGTCCCCGAGTGACACACGTACTTTTTTATATTTATTTGAGAAGATTTTTTCACGAAATTTAGCACATATTATTATCTTAGCCAACTCTATAATCTCCGACTAAGTTGTTTAGATCGGTCCGCAATAGCATACATCTTCATAAAAATCTATTGGAGGTTGTTTATATCAAGAAATTTGTATCACTAGCAAACCGTTGACCGTTTACGCATGCAGGTTTAGTTATACGTATAATTGGTATAAGAAATGCACCTCTTATGGTTATATAGCTTTGTGGCAGCCGAAGTTAACGTTTTTATAGTGTGATAACTAACGGAAATTACTACGTCATTAGCGATGAAAATTAGTTTGATTATAATATTTTATTCTCAAATACAGATATCTCGCTTACTTTTTTAAGAGTACTTTTAGTGTACATTACATATGTATATGTATGGTATACATTTAATCAATTTATTTACATCCCGCAACTATATTCTACATACATACATACTTAGTGTTGCTTCAATAACCAACCAGCTATTGCCATCGCTCACCATTTTTATCAGGGGTACCTACTACCAATACAACACTTGCCCATACACACATTCCCATTCAACAGTTTTCTTTATCGCTCTCTCAATGCTCTCCTAAATACGATATGCATATGTACGTAAGCATTCTTTAGTATATACTATGTCTATATGTTAATGTTTACATGAGATGTTTGTGGCTTGTAGAGTGTTGAACGATAGTGATGCTGCCACGTTTGTGTTCTCTTTTGTTCTTGACGTCACAGAACAGCAAGATTTGATTTGGTCAGCATTTTTATTTAACATTTGTAGTATTCTCGCATCGTTTTTAATTTAACAGTAAATTATTCAATCGTATGTTTCAAATGTCATAGGTGCCGTGATTCTGGTCTTGCGAAATCTTATCCAAAGTCAATAGGTACGAGTATACCTATATATAGATATTTAGACAGATTTCTTAAAAATAAATAATAGTTTGCGGGTTAATCGTGGGTCTGATCCTGTAACTTTAGATTATGGCAATGCACCGTATTTCTGCAGCACGACAGACCGTCTCACCGCGGTTTTCTATATTATAGCTTACAGGATATAGCTTTCCGTCGAAACTTAGTTCCAATCAACCCATTGCTTAGGATACTCAATATTGATTTTACAGATTGACTTAAGTGAAAAATTATTCCTTTGGCTTCTTTTAAAATTAAATGTATTCATTGAACTACACCTTATTTAATCAACTTTTAGAAAATAAATCGTTAAAAGATTAGTTGTCACCAATATTTGACGCTCAGTTCCGATCCAAGAAACAAGTCATAACACCACGGATGTACCAAGCAATGTTTTGAAAGCTCGGCTCGGTGCATACATTATTTTGGACAAAGTTAAATGTTAAACAAGTAAGGAAGTGCTAAGTTCGGATGTAACCGAACATTTTATACTCTCGCAAAGCAAATGGTATATTCGTTTGAGATTTCTTTGTGGATTGACCGATATTTTCGGTAGAAGGTCAACTATAGACACTGGGGTCCACATATTCAGTACTTAGGGGCTTGAACAGTTTTGGTTCGATTTAGACAATTTTTGGTCACAAGGTGGCATACTTTAATTGCATTATTCACGCAAAGTTTTACCCCGATATAATCATTGTTACCTGATTTGCATAGTGGAAAGTGAAAGAATCAGATGGAATTGAAAATGGTGTTACATGGGAAGTAAGCGTGGTTGTAGTCCGATTTCGCCCCACTATGACATAGAAACATGAAAAGAACGTTATGCACCGAATTTCGTTGAAATCGGTTGAGCAGATCTCAAGATATGGGTTTTCACCTAAAAGTGGGCTGTGCCACGCCCACTGACTAATTTTGAACACGGTTCCTATAAAGCCAATTTATACCATCTCAGAGATAAAATTTAATGTCTCTGGCGTGTTTAGTGCTTGATTTATCGCGCTTTTAGTAGTTTTTAACAGTACCGTTATATGGGGAGTGGGCGGAGTTGCCACCCGATTTCAACTATTTTCACACCGTCAATAGAAGTGCTAAAAACATTTGCTTCTAGTGAATTTTGTTATTATAGCATTAGGAGATATGCACATTAAACCTATTAGAGGCGGGACCACGTCCACTTTTTAAAAAAAAGGTTTAACTGCAGATGCCCCTCCCTAATGTGATCCTGTGTACCAAATAACAGTCTTGTATCTTATTGCGGAGCTTAGTTATGGCAAGTTATTTGTTTTTGATTAATGGCGTTTTGTGGGCGTGGCAGTGGTCCGATTACGCCCATCTGCAATACCAACCGTCTCACGGTACCAAGAAATATGTCTACCAAGTTTCATAAAGATATTTCAATTTTTACTCAAGTTAGAGCTTGCACGGACGGACGGACGGACAGACGGACGGACGGACGGACGGACGGACGGACAGACAGTCACCCGGATTTCAACTCGTCTCTTCATCCTGATCATTTATATATACATAACCCTATATCTAACTCGATTAGTTTTAGGTGATACAAACAACCGTTAGGTGAACAAAACTATTATACTCTGTAGCAACAGGTTGCGAGAGTATAAAAAACGTTAACTTCGGTTGCTATAATACCATTCACAAATATAAAGGTTTCTTACAAGAACTTGATTCCGATCGTTCAATTTATATGGCAGCTATATGATGTAGTGATCTGATCTGAACAGTGTCTCCGGAGAATACATTGTTGCCTTAAATAATAACTCGTGCCTATATTTGTGAAGATACCTTGTCAAATAAAAAAGTTTTACATGCAAGCACTTTATTCCGTTCGTTCATATACAGACAGACGGACATGGATAAATCAACTCAGCTCATCATGCTGATCATTTATGTATATAATTTATAGGACCTCCGACGTTTCCTTCTGGGTGTTACAAACTTCATAACAAATTTAATATACTCTATTCAGGGTGTAAAAAAATCTTCAGAGTCTCTAATCTTTTTTAAGCTGTAATTTCCGACTTTAATACTGGGCAATTGACGACCTAATAATTCTGGCGGCTTGCATACATACATACATATATGGAGCTCGCAAAATAAGTGTTAATCTAATTTTTCACAATTTTGTTTATTTCGCAAACAAAAGTAAAATAACGGTATATAAAGTGCTGAACCCTAGTCTTCATTTATACGAGTATAGGTATCAAAGAACTTTTAATATTCTAAACAATTCCAGAGTAAATACTGCAATCGTTGAAATACTTTGTACCAACACTTTCAATAAATATGCATACATACATACATTTGTAGATATGAACATATATGTATCCACCAATTAAATATGTACGTGTACATATAAATTCATATTTGGAGTCTCGTAATACTATTGCTTGGCCACCCCCTCCAGTTGTTTACCAAAATACAAAAGCTAACTAAATAAATTGGTTTGATGTGACAACAACAATAAGAGAGCAACAAACGCATACATAACTATATACTTATTCACAAGTATTATTTAAAGATTTATGGCTCTCGCATGCTAAAAGCGCTCTTTGGCTTCAATGGAGAGCGCCAACGCACAGCATCCGCTGAATGCATTTACATGCCGTTGATTAACTGTAAATGTAGTAAAACTACGAATTTTATGCGACGTACATATGAGATTATTTGTTTGTTGTTTTTTTTGTTATTGTTGCAAATGTGATTTTGCCTCAGCTGATTTGGACTGCTGTGCTGCTACACTGTATATTTTCTATTGTTATTGTAATCTGTATCTGCAACTCTCCAACGCAGGTCTCTCCGAGTGTTGACACATCGATACTTTCATGTCTACATGTGTGTGTGTGTCCCGTTCGTTGATTATGTGTATGCGATTTGTTGGTTGATTGTTTTTGCTTTCGCTTGTTGCTGTTGGTTCGGTGAAATGTTGTTGCTTTTGTTATGAACTCACGTGCGTATGTGTTCGTGCATGTGTTCATGCGAATTGTGGTGGCAAATTGTAGTGGTCCCGGCGATCGTAGTTGTTGTAGGGCGTTTGCTGCGAACGAAAGCAGTGGCAGCAATTCTAAACTTACTAACAAATAACACATACTAAATAAAGTGTGCAGTGCGAAAGTCTTTCTGAGAAAGTGCAAAAAATAAAATTTCTGTGGAAGTGCTTATTTTATATTTTTTATTAAAAAAAATTCAAAAGTGAGTAAATTTATAGAAATTTTAAAATGAACCAGCTTGCAAATAAATTGTTCAACCATTCATTCTAGGTGCCTTTGTTGTTTACTGTTCACATAGTTGTTATTAGTTTTTCATTTGTGCTGTTTGCGGTTCCTGCTAAGCCATTTTCTGCTGGCATTTTTGTTAATTGAAATAAATTGAATTTTATTGTTGTTAATAAAAAATTGTGGCGTTTTGCACAGTTGAGTGGCGTCATGCTAGCGAGAAAAGGAAAATAGCGGCTTATTTAGTACATATTTTAATCAGTTATATACTACTGATACCAACAGTGGCTCTTTTTGTGTTTAATACAAAGCAGAAGGCAAGCTTATGTACATATAGCATAATAGTAATATATATGTATATGAATGTATATGTTGATGTATATACATACACGCATACATATGTACGTATATAACGGTAGTGTGCATTAACGTTTGCTAGAATATTGAAACGCTATTATATATGCATTAATATTTAAAAAACATTGAAATCTTACCAATATGTGCATATAAGGGTATGTGTACATATACTATCCTAATGAGCAAAAACAAAGGAAAAAGCACAAAAAAGAGTTTTCTTCCATATTTATTTCATTCTCATACTACTGCATACATACTTACTTAATGTCCAACAAACTAAAAAAAAATATTTTTAATAACTTTTTTCTTCAATTCTTTTTTATTCTAACACTAGTGTTTAACATTTACAGTAACACTGCAAGCTGATCCAAAACAAACATGCCACTTAAATTTTGCTTCGCGTTGCATTTTAGCACCAGCTTTTGTGTATTTTTAGTTTGCCGCATTCTTACTTGCAATTGCTAACAACAATATATAGTTGAGTGGAGCATCATCGCCAGCGTTGCCACAAGCGCAACAGGCCGTGTGCAAGCTTCAATAACAAAAACAGCGAAATATCAAAAGAATTTGAAACGCAACCAAAATAAAGCAGAACTTACAGATGCAAACGTATGCTCAGCAGTTTTGTTGGAAGGTAAGCCAGTATAAAATTGGTAATAAAATGTTAAATATTCGGTCTTTTGTTCTGTTGTTCTGTTACGAATGAAGCTACTTATTTGGTACAAGTTCACATATTGACCGTGCTCAGCATCTTATTAATATTAATGTAGCTATCTCTTGGAGTTGGATATATCTCAAGAAAAGTTATTAGCCACAATATGTTGCACTAGCTTTATAATGGTATTGTTTAAAACAATTAATAGAATAGCTCGCTAAAATACAAAGTTAGAAGCATTAAATTAGTTAATTATATATTAAGTAGATTTTGGGCGTCTCACTAATTTTATATTTCACAAGATTCCTGACCAAATAAAAGTGATAGTTTCTGTGAATCCTACTTAATACAGTTCTAATACGGTTGTATAAATGATTACTATGTCTTTTTCCCATAGAACGTTATTGGAGCTACCATTAGCTTCTTTGTTTTTACCATACAAGTGGATAAATATATCAAATGAAATTAACCTTTAAAAAAAGGCGAAATATGGTGAGCAAGCTGATTTACTTATGTCATCTGGTTATATTTAATGCACCGATAAATATATTTTAGTGAAACACGATGGGTGATACTGTAGTGAAGCTATATACTATAGTAAGTTCAATAAGAAGCCATACTATAATATTATATTATAAATGTGAATGTAAGTAAAAAGATTTTGGAGGATTATATCTGTTTGTAAAATAAATTTAAAAATTTGGAAATAGACAAAAAAAATGTGGAAAACGGTTGGCCTCAAGGGCCATCCCTGCAACTTCCCTCTAATTTCATACGCTAACGTTCAAATTTCGCTTTTTTCACTGCTTTTGAGCTCTTCGAAATTTTTCGTTTTCGATATCTCGCAAGTAAATCAACCGATTTTGACCCGGTTTGCGGCAAACGATGTGTTTTTTCAAGGTTTAGAACTGATTAGTTTTTGGTGTCGATCGGTCAAGTCGTTTAGAAGAAATTCGACGATTTTTCAAAATTTTTATTTTACACACACACATACATCCACACATACATACAGACATACGGACATCAACGTAGAAATGTTCGGGGAAGCTTCCTCGACCCTCAAAACGTCGAGATCTGTTGAGAACTCGATTTTTGCAAAATGGGGTGAAACCAATATCTTCCCGATTTTTAGAAAATTTTCAATTTTCTTAGCGGAAAGTTAAAAAATTGCTTTGAAGGATATGATTGTTTGTCGCAATATTTCAAAATGTAACAAAACAAAAATGCATCAAAAGAGTAAATCAAAGAAATTAAAGTTTTTTGGTTACCACCACCACCACGAAGATGATCATCGCGGTATAGTATTCGTGTACATATGTACTAGGTATTTAGTTATTTATTTTTGCTAATAATCTTTATTAATTATTTAAGGGATTCAATGCCGCGAAAAAAGCTAGTAATTTTTATTTTCGGTGCACATTTATATATTTATAACTAAGAAGCAATTTTTAGTATTTAAACAAGCACTTTTGGAACCAAAAAGTTTGTGTGAATAAACCCCATTAGTTCTTCAGTTTTCTACTATTTTGATTCAAATTGATTTTGATAAAGGTCAAATAATTCCAATTGTTTAAAATTTGATCCTGTGTGCACTTTTACAAGACCATCTCAGGTGTACATACGCCCTTAATATTTTATTATATATATTTTTTTTTAAATATTGGCATAGTATATATTAATACTGAATGCACACTGAAATGATTGAGAATTATATAAGGTTTAGTAAGTAAAGAGATCCATTATAGCATTAAATTGACATTACATATTATCATAATTATAATAATCCTGCTGAAGCACAATTCCTCTCCTATTGGCCAAAGCTGGACGCTTCTGAGCGAAGAAGCGCAGCTCATATTAGATGATCTCCAAATCACACTAAATACAGAGAAAATTCTTTGTCAGACCTCACCAGTAAGCATCCGCTTCAGAAATGAATCTCTTTTTTTGCGATTCAGGAGCAATTCACAGATGGAAATTGGGTCTATGAGTGTTTTTTGCGTTAACTCGCGTGGCACCAATATACGAGTATCTTTATGTATCCAGCCTTATTTAAATGGTTCCTGGGCAATCGAAGTACTGCTTACATGACGGTAGAATTACACGATTTTCATTATTTTATCGATATTTTCGACAGCGGGGTGCATTTTTGGCATTTAACATTATAAGTACCCTAAATAATATTTACATATTCAGCGGTTTGGCTTGCGTTTTCACATTTATTAAAGAAAAACTGTAAAATATGACGTATTTTGTCTTTTCAGACAGAAAACTGCCTGAAAGGTTATTTTTAGTACGAAACCTTATCCTTCTAATGCCATATATTATCCTTCTATAATACAACGCGAGATTACGAAAGCCATCTGTTGAAAAATAATGGATTTCTAGTAGTGACCTTATGAATATATTTGGGATATATCTTCTGTTGTTATAAAAACAACAAGATGACTTTAAATATCTTAGAGAATAGAGCCACTAATTTTTAACCAATATTTTTACCTTTCACGCTAATAAGAGCAAAACATATGTACTATATACATATATCTTAAGAGCTGTGAAGGTTGTTGACCCTTTCAATAAATGTAAATTCTTAATTTCAGGCCAGGATACTGTTTTAGTGAACGTACTAACTGAAATGCAGTAGATGAAAGCTTCATTTGCCGGGAGAGCCACCTGCCATATGATTATATAAGCTGTTACTAAACTCCGTTATATTAATATCAATAATAGAAGGACTAATAGCATTTGATAGGGGCTGATTAATTTCGAATACTTCTTCTCACACAGGTCAATAACCCCATTATGTTTATATTCAGCTGCATTGAAGAGATAAATGCATGTACATATGTATACAAATTCGTTTCTTCGCAGCTTATTTGGGTGGCATCACAAGTTAGGAGTATTTTAGTGGTATATGTCAACAGTTGAAATTGGATATGGAATGCAAAATGGAATTCATACACATAAAAATCGCTTTTGTGGCTTTGACTAATTGAAAATATTTCACAATTACTTTGTATTTAGGTATTAATGTGTATTAGCTATTATTTAATTTACTATTTAATTAATTTATATAAATAAATGAAACAATTTCTATTTAATTAAGTTACTTGCATTCATTTATCCCTACAATATTGTAACACTAATTTTCTTTGCTCTCACGTTACAGCATCCACCACTGAGCAGCGGCTGCGCTCTACTGCTATTGGTAGAGGTACTGCCACACTAATACTACTACAAATTGCTTAACGGTCGCAACACCCACAACGCTGTTACAAAAGTTAACTGTACTCATACCAAAACGTTAAGTGAGAGAGCAGTTAGCAGAGAGCGTACGACTAGTGTTGCCAATGCGCAATACATGGATACAATCGCATATCTGAACATACACATACATACCTACATATCTAATCGCAGGTATCTGTGCTTTTGCATGCGCGAGAGTAGTGATTAGAGGATTGAAGAGGTCGCATGCAAAGCAAACACTAAGAAGCACAGATTTAATCAAATAGACGTGTGGTAACGAAAGTGTTGAGCGTTGGTACGTTACCCGAAAGGATCAAACACTAGCGTTCTAGATACAGTTAGCCCCGTAGCCCAGAGCTTAGTGTCCTCAAAATAGCAGCGGTTGAGAGTGAGCCCGCAGGAAATGTGGGTGATATGGCGTTCTCACGTCACAACATCGAGAAACGACGCCTCATCGAGTTGGTGCGCTTGAATGCGATACTCTGGGACTGTCGCCTGCCGCACTACAAGCGCTCGGACAAGAAAAAGGCGCTGAAATGGAACGAATTGGGTCGAGTTTTCGGCGTTAGCGGCGAGCGTGTGCAGCGCACGTTCACTTCGCTGCGTGAGATATTTCGACGTGAGTTGAACCACGAGAAAATGCTGGGCACACGTTTCAAGTCCAAGTGGGAGTACTATGACGCCATGGCTTTCCTAAAAGAAGTCATAAGGGAACGCAAGTAAGTAATATTCTATATATATAAATTCATAAAATAATATTTCGAATATTTTTATAGATCACGTGAGCGCAATAAAATTCCTGCTGACGCACAGGCGCAACAACAAACACAACAACATCAGAGCAATAACAATAGCAGCGCCATTGATGAATATCAGTATTTTGCGCCTAATGATCCCAATAATCCCAACAACCAACAGTCAACGCTTACTAACGACCCGAAACAACAGCAACTACAACAACCACAATATCAAACCTTGACACAGCAGCAACAACAACAACTCTCGGTTAACTCGTCTTTTCCAACACAGATACACTTGCAACAATTGGCGCCGTTAAATGAGACACCACATTCGCAGCCGCAACCAACTTCTCATACCACAGCACTAGCTGCCGTGGCTCAACTGCCACAACAGCCGTTGCACCAAATGCAACCCGACGAGATACTCAGTCTGAATGCGAACTCTGCATCGACATTACCAAATCTCGGCAACATCAACGGTAATGCATCTTTTACTGGCAATTCCAGACCGCCTTCTCAGCAGCAACAACAAGCACTACAGCAACCGGCGCAGTCCCTGTTCCAGTTGCAGCCACAACCGCCGGGAACACAATCGCTCGTGGCCATTTCGAGTTCTCACTCGTCGGCGTCAAGTTCGCCGTCGATTTACATTAAAGAGGAGCCCGATTCGCCAGACACGCTTTCACTAACCACTATTGCCGTAAATGAACACAACTCTGCGTATTCACCTCAGCACAATGCAATACTAACCACAGCCACAAGAAGCAAACATGCCCAAAACTTAAATACTCATTCTAAAGTTGGCTTTGCAAATAATAATGCTACAAACAATGGCGTTTTAAAAGCTCAGTCTAAATCGCACATACCCGGTTCTTCTGCGAGTCTAATTATCGACGAAGACTTCGCTGAGCCCGATGTCGAATTAGACGATCTCGATGATCCGGATGTGGATATGCTCAACGATGATCGACTCTCGGCTGCGAGCACTTATACACTGGCGGGGAAACTATGTCGCCCCTCGGCACGTGAAATACTGTATACCAAGTTCGGTGACTTTTTGGCTGCACGTCTTAATACTCTCAACGAAACTGTGGCTAATGATCTGATGAATCGTATACTTTTGCTAATCGCCGAAAAGTAGATGTGAAAAGAAGAGGCGATTGTTGTTAGCATACTCCATTTATGTGATTTTTATAAACTTTATAAACGCTAAGTGTGCTACTAACTCACATACCAAATATAGATTCCGATTGTCGTATTAGTTTCTTATAAATATTTTTGTATACATATATATAGATCTGTAAAAAGTACTTTATAAGCGACATTTGCATACTGTATATCCATAAGAAAATTCAATCTGTATGAGTCTGAATATAAATCTTTAAGTCATATCAACTGGCCATAATCATATAGTAAGAATTAGGCTAAATAAATGTATATAATATGTATCCTTTTCGAAAAGCTCCCTGGATATAGGAATTTTCCTATAAAAGTCGAGTATGGGTTAAAATTAAATAAATTTTCATGAGTTAATGGATAAAGAATGATTTGAAAGCGTTTTATCATCTTGATATTCAAAACGGCAGACAGTAAAACGAGTAGAGAACTGTCCATGGTGTTCCAGACGAATGGAGATTTAAACTGCTATTAAGTATAGAGCTTAGTTAGAAATTGCTAATAGACAACCTTTTACATGGAAACCACTAATGATATTCAGCAAGAAGGTATGGCTAGGTACAGCTATTTGTATATATTTATTTGTGCTGAAAAATATTCTGGAAGTCAGAGAATGAGTGTTTCATAACTTATTTTAGGCAGTTGAAGAAAGTTGTCAATTACTTTTATAAGGAATAAACTTAGGAAACTTTCTGATTATTGGGATCATTTACCACCAAGAATGATTAAGACAAACGAAACGAAATATCAAATTTGAATAATTTGCAAGGCTTTCCCTTCTTTTTTGTCAAACGGCCTCTAAAAAAGAACGAAAATAAACTGTTGTAATCTCAATTTCTATCATTCTTGATCACGAAACATACATATGTAATATAAGTTAATGTTATATTAAGCCATGACTTGTAACCAACCATCGAGAAATAAGAGGTATATTATTGATCTATCCTTATAAGTTTAGATATCTTTTTATATTCTAATTCTGAATTATATTATATTGTATAAGGCTATGGTATATAGTTGCCAGTTCACTTGCCCTCGCTACTAATGAATGTTTTTTTAGACATGTGGCTTTCATGAAGAAATAGTAAGTATATAATTTAATGTTATGGCCAACAATTTAGCACTGTTTTAAAAACAAGAGTTTGCTAATATGTTTTAAAAACGATTTGAGGTAAGTGACTGCCGCCGCTGGCTCGAATTAATTCCCGATTTTGACCACTTTTTGCCTTGATAAATTGTTTGCGTCAATTTTGAGGTTTTCTGCGTAGACCAACGATCTTCGCATTAATCTTGGCTCTATAGCGTTCCCTGTTGACATTATGGCCGGCTTTCTTTTTGAAGAAATATGTACCAGTGATTCCCTCTGCCCCCAAGTACACAAAACAGTGACTTATGGAGGATGTAACGGCGTTCAACAATGGGTTGTGGATTATCAACACTCAAAATGCAATAATTTTGTTTATTACTTACCCATTAAACCTAAAGTGAATTTCAACGTTGCACAAAATTTTCTTGCGAAAATCGAGATCGGTGGTAATCCCGTTTTGGGCTCATTCAGTAAATGTGCGATGCGCTTGATGGTCGTTCGGCTTCAGTTTGTGTACAATTTGGATTTTGTAAGCCCGCAAACAAAGATCTTTCCTCTTTAGGGACTCATTTGGGTCTTCTTCGATACTCTGCCTGACAGCAGCAATAGCGTCTTCGGCGCTCACTGCACTGTGACTCTCTTTCTCTCTCTACGTCTCTGAGGATGTGCATTACTCACTAGAGTAAACGTGGCGTGAAACCAATCCATAGTTGCTCGATTATGTCGACGAAAAGAAAAGACCAACTCCGAAAAAAAATTTTGCTTTATTGAAAACCACACTTCTAAAAAACCCCCTTTATATTATGTTTCTGTATTTCGCGTTTTTTTAAATTATTCGTCTTTATCGTTTTTGAAAAAAGGCTTATATAATTTTTGAAAATGATTTAAAGAAAAAATTTAAACTTTTTTACACTTTATAATCATACATTTTTTTTTTAATTAAGCCAAATTATCTATCTTGGTTTAACATTGCAATATTGGATCCATGCAGAGGAATATGGTTAGGAGTTCATCAGAATTTTTTATGTCCACATACCTTGAAAAAAATAATGTTGCAGTTCCAGTAACTTGGGATGATTACTGACGTAATACTTAAGATATGAGTTAATCTCCTTAGGATATCAAAACCAGAAAGCTTATGAGCGCTTCAACTGCTGAACTATTTGTTGCTATAGAGATCTCTGCGTATCTCAGCTAGATACAAGAATAGACATTGTGCATGGCTACTAATAGGGTATACATGAAATTGCAAATAACATCGAAGAGTTGACCATTTTGAGACGTACTGTTTAAAGTAATTGACAATATTGCTCAAAAGAACGTACCGTAATGATGTCAAGGTAATGTTGTGAAAATTATATCCCTTGTACGAGATTTAGGTTTCTTAAGAAACATCCGGAATTCAAATCATCTCGTCGTCCTCATCATTGCAATGTCAATAACTCAATATCGGTCCAGATTAATTTCAGGTATTAGAAATAACTATAATACTCTTTGGATTTGGATTATTACTGTATTATATGTTAGAATAATTAACCGCTTCTGAGCTATTTTTGGAACGTGGATGTTGTTGCAGAGTGTTGAACTGCTCTTAAAGGCATTTTTAATGCACCGAATAAGTCTATTACCACAACCACATCCACGTCCTCTCTACCCCGAATTGCACTCCACAAAAACATATCCAAGATCCACTCTCTGCATATATTATATTTTATGTCTTTCGCAATAAGTGCACCGAAAATACGAAAATACAAGTGACATTCGTTACCAGCGCCATTACGCGCTGCACGCTCCATCAGCGTCACTCATACGCCCCAGCATGCTATCTTCGCATACCACTCTCTCCGGAGCACCATCCACATTTCTAATGTCTTTTATGTACCCTTATATTTTCCCTTTTCGTCGCTGTTCTCATTACACCGCTATTCTTCAGGTGGGCCATTTGCATTGTTGCAATGTGTGCTGCCGTTATGTACATGGATTTTGTAGCAAATAAACTTACACGGGTATATATGTATGTGTTTTGAATTTGTGGTAATTTCTCATTTATTTGCGTGCTGCCACAATGCATCAGCGTCCCCAATTATCTGAGCGTTGAAAAGCAAAGCAACAACCATAGTAACCAGGGAGTTTTGCAAAGAACCCGCGTTGGCTGACTTAGCTCGAGCCGGCAACTAACAACAAGTCAGCACTGGTTGCTCGCACTTATCCACGCTCACACCATAAGAATAGCAAATCAATGACACAGCCGGAGATATCGACTTCGACGCAGCTGTTGTTGCAACTTCAGTCATTTGCCTCGCGCTCATCATGCTGTTATTTGGATGCAGGAGCTCGCAAGAGACTTTAGCAAACAACAAATACAAGCTCTCGGGTTTCATAGGCGGCTTTATAAATGCAACGCTGCCATTAGCCGCAAATAAGCAAAGTCTATAGCTCATTTAAAACAGTGGCATGCATCGCGTGCCACGACAGACCTCATTAAAAGTTCACTATTTATGAATGTCTGTTTGGATTATCGTTGGTGAATGGGTGCGTAAAGTATTGGCAGACAGACCACAAAATCTTTGCAACACTCCAACAATTCCATCGCAATTCTACGCTGCGAATAACGGTCAATGGCTAGTCATCGTGACTGGTAGCAGAAAATTTTCCGCAGTCAGTGACGTTGAGGTAGCTGCTTTTATTTAGCAGCTCTGATTGTGGCTTACGGAGGAAAATATTCGACTTCAAATCGACGAGAGTGCTCAAAGCGTTTGCACTTCATCACCATCAATTGTTGATAGCTAATACTGATGATAGTGTGGTAAATATTTTTGCATATGACCGCAGCGAAACAGTTTTGTAATTAGTAAGAGTTTCGTGTATACCATAGGCTGGCTAACTACTTGTACAACATATATATGCTATGGCAACAGATTAACCTTTTAAGGATCATAAGATAACCGACATAACGTTTCTGGGCGCATTTCATAACATTTTCTGCTTTATGATACCGATTTTATTAAATAGTTTCACTTGTATATTTGTATGTATGTATGTATATTTGTACGTATGTACGTACTGTTTGTAACTTTTTTAACTGAATGGCGAAATAATCAACAGTTTGATAGGTACTGCAATAAAGCAAAGAAAAATGGTCCTAAGACTATGCAGCTAAAATTATCAACTATCCATGCTGCCATTTGAATAACAAATTTGCTGAAATACATCCATAAAGAAAGTGCAGTGAAGTGTAGCTAATTAATAAATATGGTTCTAAAGCACTTCAAACAAAAAAGGAAAAATAATTCTTTATATAAACTGACAGTAGTATTGACCGAAAAATACTTATATTTATGTGAGTGAAGTGTGGTATGCTCGATATACGAAAAATATGGCACAAAGCAAGTAGTTGTAGTAAATTTAAATCACTGGTTCGCATTCCTTAGCACAATTGTCTAAGCGGACTTCACACGTACACTTACGCTCTATCTTTAATGACCAACGCAAACCCCTAGAACGAATCAGCTAATACGACCTACCTTATGAGAGCGCAATGTAAATGAGCGCTTCTGCCGTCCAACAGATATCTGCGATAATTGAATTTTCCCCGTAGAAACGAGTCAGCTGATTGCTCTCTTACATAATAGGATTGCCAGTCTCGATATTTTGTAGCAATTAAAAAATAAACTTGAATATATTTGAAATATTCTTAAACTAACTCAAATTCACAGTTGAATACAATTATTTATGAATAGACTATTTTTAATAGTTGGATTTTAGTTTTGATCTTTTACATTATGAAAAATTGTAACTAAAAAGCTAAATGTGTACAAAATCATATATACAAATGGAGCAATGGCAATATTGATCAAATGAAAATAAAACAGACAACTGATTTCTACGTTACCACTACGGGCCTAACTTTAGACAAACTTCGTTTGATACGGGAGGTAAGTACAGAAGGGCGGAATATCGGTGACTGTTTCCAGCGAGATTTTCCCTGATTTTTCTCTCATTCTCTTCACCTGATTACGAGGATTAGAGAATTTTGATATCAAAAAGGATGAAATATTCGTGTCGACTTGTGTGACGAAATGACACTTAAGAGTCATATGTAATGTTCAACAAAAATTTGATCAAATTGAAGGACTTCAGGATTATGGCGATGAAAATTTCACAAGAAAAATAGGTAATAGTGCGATGATTCTGATGTTCCAAGGTATTGGTGAAGCGCCTTGGTCTCACCCTCATACTTCCTGTAAAGGGGATGGAGCCATTTTGTTTGTAATCAGGGATCTA